TGGACGATTTATTACTACCATCATTAGATGTTAACAAAGGCCTGTTGATATTGGAAGAAGTTTTGCAGCTTTTGAGGAAGGCTAATCTAAAGTTAAATTTGAAGAAGTGTGCGTTCCTCAAAACTGAAATAAATTATTTGGGACATGTGGTAACACCTCACGGAATACAGCCCGGTGATAGAAAATTAGACGCTATGACGAATTTCCCTACGCCTAAGAATGTCCATCAAGTACGACAATTTATGGGATTATGTTCGTATTTTCGAAAATTTATCCACAACTTCGCAATTATAGCAAGACCTCTTACTGAATTAACCAAGAAGAATGTGAGTTGGAATTGGGGAGACGAAAAAAATTGCGCCTTTTCGAAATTAAAGTTATTGCTGTCTAATAAACCGGTCTTAGCGTTACATAATCGGAACTATGACACAGAAATACATACAGACGCCTGTAAATTAGGTATAGCAGGCATACTTCTTCAGAAACAACCAAGCGGTGAGCTCAAACCTGTATTATATTTTAGTAGGGTAACAACAAAAGAAGAAATGATTTACCATAGTTACGAGTTGGAAACACTGGCGGTTGTTGAATCTCTGAAACGTTTTAGGATCTACATCACGGGCATACGTTTTAAGGTCGTAACGGACTGCTCAGCTGTACGGAGTACTCTTACAAAACGAGATTTGGTACCCAGAATCGCACGTTGGTGGCTTCAAATACAAGACTTTGACATGGAAGTGGTGTATCGCCCTGGTATTAATATGCGCCACGTTGACGCACTTAGCCGAAATCCGGTACCTGAAATTTTAAATGTGGAAATCACTGAAGATTGGTTCTTGACAGCTCAGCTCCAAGATGAACAGCTACAATCTATTTTCCATCAGCTTAAGAGCGGTAACCCCAACAATGACTTAAAAAATAATTATTGTATTAGAGATCATCGCATTTATCGGAAAACACTTAATGGCGAACGTCTTGCTGTACCCAAAGCTGCTCGTTGGCGGATAATGAAAATGTTTCACGATGATATCGGTCATGTAGGCTTAAAAAGATGCGAAGAAGCTATTAAGGCAGACTACTGGTTTGCGCGTATGAGTCGATTCATCAAAAAATATGTCGGAGCCTGCTTGGAGTGTTTATTTAAAAAGGGGAATTATGGTAAAACCGCTGGAAAGATTTACCCTATATCCAAACCCGAACAGCCTATGCACACAGTACATATAGATCATATGGGTCCGTTTCCTAAATCCACAAAAGGGAATCAATATGTATTGGTGATCATTGATTCATTCACCAAATTTATAACGGTAAAACCAACAAGAAGTACCCGTTCTGTAGAAACAGTCTTAGTATTACGTGAAATATTTGCCATCCTTGGCTATCCAAACCGCATTATATCTGATAGAGGACTATCCTTCACGAGTAGATACTTCAAGGAATTTTGTATTACTCATAAAATTCATCACACTCTTAACGCTATATCTATACCGCGCGCCAATGGACAGGTGGAACGGGTTAATAGAACCTTGCTAGATGCCTTGTGGACAAGCACACAGATACCATCTGCATGGGATGCTAAAATTCCTGAAATTGTCATGGGAATTAATCACACAATACATGATACAACGAAATACAGTCCTTACGAACTTATGTTTGCACACAAGAAAAATCTAGTCCCTGATTTAACAGGTAATAGTCTAGAGATATCTTGTAAAGAGAAGCGTAAAAGGGCAAGTGAAAAAATAAGAAAGAAACAAAAATATATGGAGACCAAGTGTAATGAAAGTAGAAAAGAAGCTAAGAAATATAGAAAGGGAGAATTAGTGTTGTGGAATAATGCGTTCACAAATTCAGAGACTGGCGTCAGTCGCAAGATAGATAAGATGTATGCAGGACCTTATAAAATTATTCAAGTGTATCTTAACGATCGTTACAAGATCCGCAGTGTAAAGGGGATGAAAGGCTATAAGAGTTTCGTTGCAATGGTACCAGCTGGCTCATTGCGGCCGTACAAAAGTTCTATCGGTTATGAAACGGATTCTGCTGATAGCGATAAAGAAGTGGTGGATACGCACGATCTGATTGATTTGTTAGAAAGTTAATCCGTTGTAAACTGTAAGTAATCGATGTACCTACATCAGTCATTTCAGCTGTAGCAAATATTCTGAATGTTATCTAATGACTCTTCGTGAATACCTTATGGTATTCACTTTGCAGGATGGCCGATGTTACGAGTAGTTGCCGGAATCACGCGAGCAATGCCGACCAGGCTGGCGCCACCAGGGCGCGCCGAAACACGACACTATGTATCCGAGCGTCGGCGTGTGCGACAGGTCTTGTGAGAATAATAACTTGAGTGTTAAAAGTATTAAATGAAACTAAAGTGATTGAAAGTATTGAAGTATAATGAACAGTTGATTGTACAAGTGAATTAAATTGTATTGAAGCATAAGAAACGTTTCATTTTACAAAATATTGTATTATATATGATCGTTAGTGTGTCTGTTAATGGCCGTGTAACTTCTCAACAACTTGACCAATTGAGATCAAAATCGTACAATATATATGTTATAATGAGTCGTTAGTTGTAGGTATGCTTGGATCCGATTGGTGGCGCTTTAGTCAAAGCGTTGCTACACGACTGTCAATGTTTTTATACTGAAGACCACGTCTAAACGAATAGTGTTAATAATTTAAATAAAATTATTTCTTTTTATAGGGTAGGGTGACAAACGAGCACACAGTCCACCTGATTGTTAAGTGGTTTCTGTGACCCATAGACATCTACATCTATCCTCAATAAAGAATTAAAATTCAGATGCGTTGTCACCCGTGAGGACTAAGATGGAATGCCTCCTTTCCAGTAAAAAGGGTCTCCGGTTCTCTACACTCACCATACGAAACAGCAGTGTTAAGCTGCTATTTTCTGCTGGTAATCTGCGAGAGCGTGATCCTTCCCCGGTAGAGCCGACCCATTCGTGCTACAACTGTGCTACTAATATAGCAGCAGCATGGCTCTACCGCGTATAAAAACTGTATGTTAAACTGGAACATTTTCTTAATAATTTGATATGTAAATATTTAAGCTTATATTTATATTACATAGTATAATTAATTTGTGAAGTTAAGAGTTTTGAACAATATAACAATGATTCTCGAAATGTAAAATCAGAAACGAGGTGAGTATTGGAGTGTAGGATAACCATACCACATCGTAGGAGAGACAGTCCGCATTTGAGTTTGTGGAAATAATTAAATGCTATTACTATTGTAATAGTGTATAAAAGTAACCTGCATATAACAGGAAAATCTAAGTATATGCTTGATATTTGTTCTGGGGAAAACTTTCCTGTAAAATAAATTTTAGGATACTGAAATGAAAAATAATTTGATAATGTTTTATACAGAGTATTTGCTTCCAGAACTAGTCGATCCTAAACTTAAGAAGAGCATGATAATAAGATACTCCCTTCTTATATAGTAAGTGTCATACAGGGACGCAAAATAAAAAAGGAATAGAAAAAAGAAAATAAATAGAAACAAACAAAAAACAAAGCGATGATGTTTTTAAAGGAAGACAAAAAAGATAAACATACATTTTGTGATCAAAATCATGGTAGAGTTGCTATAAAAATTCTAAATTATGATGAGCATAATTCATTTTTTTATTTTTTCTACTCCAACATTATTATCAGACAGTCCTTACAACTTGAAAAGCATGGCTACTCTACGAACTTCGCGGGGGTGAAGCGCGTGCTCCTTCAACTCGCTCAAATTTGCTAGCGCTTATCGTCGCCTTAATAACAAATTCTGTACATAGCTATTTATAAATCAAAATGACTCATATTCACAATAAATTGCCAAAAAAAATACAAAATCACACGCACTATAGGAAAACCGGGTGTGTTTCATCTCAAAATTTCATATTTCAGTTGTTTCGAAATGAACTAAGCTGTAATTTTACATACCTGGATATATAGGGTCTTTATTGGATTTTTTTATTTTGAGTTAAAAAAATTATTTATATGTATAACTAAAAATAATAATTTGTCGTAAAATAATAAATATTAGAAATCATTACGATATGGATGTCAATTTCGAGGTTTCTTGGGGTGCAGATTACGAAAATGGTATTCATTTTTAAATTCAAGATGGTGGATATTATTTTTTTTAATGTTATGGATGTCAATTTCAAAGTTTCTTAGTGTTGATTACGAAAACGACATCCATTTTCATATCCAAAATGGCGATTTTTTTTTAATAATATGATATGGGTATCAATTTCGAGGTTTCTTGTGGTGCTGACTACGAATATGTAATTAATTTTTAAATCCAAGATGGTGGACATTTTTTTTAATGAGGTTTCTTGAGGTGCCAATTACGAAAACGGCATCAATTTTCAAATCCAAGATGGTTAATTTTTTTAATAATACTATATGGATGTCAATTTTAAGGGTTCTGGGGGTGATAATTATGAAAAATTATTAATAAGTATTGTATTTAAAAATTTCAGATGCAAATTATGGATGGAAGTTATTGGAAGACCTGATTTAGTTGGAAGAACTTTCGAAAGCCTAAAGAATCAATTATAAAATAAACTAATAATTCAATGTATGTAGTCATTGTAATGTTAATAATAATATGGATTTGATATCTAGCTAAGAGTATAAGAACGATTTTATATAGTGAAACTGAGGTATGGCCACATATCGATAGTAGAGCACTCCCTCACGTTGTGAGGCGTGCAATTAACGTTTTGAGTACTTTCAGGAAAAATCTAAAAACAAATTGTTACTTATTTTTCATATTAGTAATCATACTGTTGATGACGATGTAGATCTAAAATAAATAATTAAATTAGTGAAAGTTGTTAATTTGTGACAACCCTAACCTCCATACGCTGTCTAGACGTTGTCGGCATTTACCACGAGATCAAAGGCGTCGTCCTACTGTATGTTTATTATACTGTGGTATTATCTAAAGTAAAAAAAATGCATTACGTTAATACTTCTCCAAGTTCGTTTACTGTAGCAATCGTTGCGTGAAAAGTCATTTCCAATTTGCGTAATGTGTCCTCAACTTTTGGCAGATTCACATTGGCGTTGAGAAGTGTTGCTGTCAATCCTGTAACAAATAAATTTCATATCATTTAGGCCGCGAAAGAAAATTAGACATGATGAACATATGTCAAAAGTACTATCAGATTGATAAATAGAGAAAAATATCACTCTACAAAAAAAATAGAGGAATATAGATATAGGTATCAATCCATACCTCTATAATCTATATAGTATTTTTGTTCTTATTATAGTATATTAATATAGTATAGTATTATATAGCCAAGGAAATATAATATTTCCTTGGCTCATGAAATTCTGCAGTTTGTTAACATGTTCAGGATTCATTATACCACCAGCCCCCTCATTATACCACCAGATTTAATAGACCACAAAATACTTGCAAAAGAACACAAATTTCTACCATATTGTTTTGTTAGACTATTCTGAATTTCAATAAAAATGCCTAGATGCCACAATCTGCTCGTGTTACTATAATTATTAAAACTAAATCCCTATCCAAGCATAGCACTGCAAGTCTCTTCTTGATTACTTTTCTTATTCTAGATACTAGATACGGCATATTCATTTTGGGTAGATTTAAGTAAATAATATGCGATAAAATTAGTAAAAAAAAAAAAATAAGTCTCATTGAATGATTCTTCGACTACTACACCCATGAAATTGTTAACTGCAATTTTAAGTGCTGATTTACCACGTGCTCTGCGGTGAAGGAAAACATGGTGAAGAAACCTGCATGTCTGAGAAATAAGAAAAAAAATATTTCGAAGACATGTGAAGTACGCCAACACGCATTGGGGCAGCGCGGCGGAATTTTTCCTTGCCCTAAAACCCTCTGAGTAATGAGAGGAGGCCTGTACCTAGCAGTGGGACGTATATAGGTTGTAACTTAACTTTTTTACTTAATAATACTTTAATGTTTATGTTCCAAATAGAAATATTATGACTACACAAGCTTACCAAGCACTCTTGGTTGATCTTCTTCTGCGCAGTTCTCAAAATGCTTCATCACCATCCGCATAGGATGATCATCAATGGCATGATGACATTCGTCGAAAATTAGAAGATTTATGTCCCTTATGTGTATGTACTGGTGTGTGAGCATGTCACAGAGAATTTGACTAGTCATTACAATCACCTAGAACAAAATAATTAATATTTAATGACATTTAAGATTCTTTTGTTTCATATCAGGTTTTCTAAACCACTTTTGGATATACGAGTACATAGGGCTTTTCAAAATGCCTTTTAATGAGGCATTAAATGCCATTCCTGCAACTTAACTAACGGATACTTTACACAACTTTTTTTTTAATGTACATTCCAATTTATTGATCTCTAGCATTATTGCGACATCCTTGCCTTATTGCTAGCAATAAGCCTGTTTTAATGTTGATTTTACTAACTTACCAATTCTGAAGATAAGGCATGGTCCCTTACTATTGGCCATATGAAGAAGCTTAAGATAGTGAAATATGCGGATTATAGTCTTTGTTTCTGTATAAAAAGTAGAACCGACATGCCCAACAGGCCAGAAAGCTGAAGTGGCAATGGGTCGACCATATAGCTCGGAGAACCGACAACTGATAGGGAAGATGCAAGGGGCAACCTCCTACCAGCAAGCAAAATGTAAAGCAGCCCTCTACTTGTCAGTGTGGTGAACTGGTACGACATGCAGATCGATGGATCCAAGTGGCTCAGGACCGCGTTTTGTTGCATTTGCATTCAATGTAGGAGGTCTATTTTAAGTAGTGAACTTGTTAAGGGCTGTTATGATGATGATGACATTAATATTCACAGCAGTCTTGACGGTAACAGGCGCTTCATTTAAAAAAATACCTAAATATCAAAGAAGTTGATTTTTTCTTTACCTGATACTTTCTTAGCTCATTATCCCACTTTTCTTTGTTCCAAAAGTCTACTTTATCTTCACCGCTATACCCGGCTACGCCTTTTACGGGCGCCTTTTCTGAAATGGTTTTTTGCTGAAACAAAATGACAAATTATCTAGAAGATCGCTTTGAAACACCATTAGTTTCAGCATCTATAGTCAAAGGCAGTACTGTAGTCAAAATAGGCATATGCTCTCGACCTTAACAATCTAAATAAAAATTACAAAAATTTGACACTACGACATTTATACTTGGCATTGGTTGATTCTCAACAAAATTCATATAATTGTGTCAGGGATCCTGAGATATACGCTAAGGGTAAGGTGATTAGGATCAAAGTGTAAGATTTTATAAATAATTTTGCCAGCATACTTTACAATCTTCGACTACATCAACACGCATATTAGGTAGGGTAAATAAAACGACAAGTTTACAAAATGATGCTTAACCTTTCATATATGTGGCCAGTGGAAGGAAAAGGGGAGATCTCCCGTCGGGCAAGGTGCTACTCGGAGCGACCAACGCTCCGAGTAGTAGTTCGGAGCTATTCTATATATTATATTGCTTTAACTACGCACTTGCAAGTGATGCCGGTGAGAACGATGAGCAGGAGCAAGTGCCAGAGATTGCCTTGTAGTCTGCAGAGAGTCGAGAAGAAGGCAAGTAATCTGCGAGAGTGCCGTGAAGCAGAGGCGAGCAGAAAGGCTCAGAGCCGTGCCGAACACTGTAGCGCAAAGAGTAACTTGAAGGAACAGGAAGCATTATTATTCCAGTGCTGCGATGAACCTTTGTAAAGCTAGATGCAGACAATATCTGCTCGGGAGCGAATGAATGGGGTACTTGAGGATGATGACGAAGGTTTGAAGTTGCAGTTTCCGAAGGTTGTTGGTTGCGTGTTCATATAACATCGGGTGGTGGTTAACATTAGGACATTTGAAGGTTGAACGTAACCCTATTTTAAACAACGTTAAAAAAAGGTTCAGGTTCTCAATACAAATGTATTTAAATAATATTTGTAACGCAATGTCCGACATAACTTAATATTGTAGACGAATATAACTTATTTTTGTAGACGTTTTTATCGTAAGAGCATACTTTCGAAGTTATAAGTCGTGTTTATATTTTTCAAGCTTCCCAATAATTTATTTGAGTGTCTCAGGGTTGGACAAAAATTTGGGAACAATTCATATTGATTCCTCAAGAAAATACCACAATGAAGACTAATAGAGTGCGTTGCAAAAAATGTAAGAAAGAACTTGTTGGACTTGTAAAAAGAATAGAGGCACACTTCCAGAAATGTAGCACCGGTTCTCACACCGATGCAGATCTTGACGCCGTCGAGAACTGTGTGATGGAGTTGATCTTCAGATAATATACTTCTATCACATCGGTTTGTGTTACTACTCTTCAATGTAAAAGTGCCAGTGCCTGCAGCAGCAGCGCGAGCGTGAACGTTTCAATGAAAAAATTTACTATTACCACAAGTCAAGAGGATAAGAAGAAAATTGATTTACAATTATCTCATTTTATGTTTACTACTAAGCCTTTTAACCACGTAGAACACCCACAGTTCTTGTACAGTAGTAAATTAGTAAATTAATGGAAAGTTTACGCCCAGGGTATAAACCTCCAAACTGCAAATTGGCTGGTAATCTACTCGACGCAGTCTACAACTCAATCGAAAAGCGTAAAAGATGAGTTGAATAACAAAGCTGTTAATTGGTTCAGTGCGGATGGCACGCCAGGCGTGTGACACGCGAGTTTTGTCCTTTTACAAATCGTTATAACTCGCTCAAATTGCGTTTTTGGAAGATTTATCCAGAACAAAATATTCATTATTTTGCAATGCCTACCAGCTTCGTTTCTGGATATTTTGAAATTTTTAGGGATTGACAACCTTTTTTTAACTTGTACATGGTACTCTTTTTACTTTGTGGGTTTTAAATCATGTTGTGGAAAAATAGTCTAAGTAACAAATAATAGCACTCATTGCGATCGCTCACAAACTCAAGTTGTAAATAAATTTCTGGAAAACAAGTATCCTGTTATAAAAAAACAATGCGTTTGTCTTATTGTTTAATTTTGCTTAAAATGGTTGTCCTGCCGTCTTATTACTATCATATGGCATATCGAATAGACCTACGAAGTACCATGTGCTCTTGTGATATGGTATAAGGTTTATTTTTGTTTGAAACAGTTCGAAACCGTTCATGCATAAAAAAGCTCGCTAATAAATAGTCTTTTGTCAATCCGCCGCCGTATAGCGCCGGCGTTTTTTTCCTTTTGAAAACACTTGTTTTGCTATTCTTACTAATTAGACGTTTTCAGATCAACTTTACTTTTACTTATTACTTATTTTTTCCTAAAGTTCTTGATTGTTTGATATTTACAAATGTTATTATTAGATGAAAATTTAATTTGATAAAAACCAAGGCTTTCCAGGGTCATTTAGCTGTACCTACTTATATAAATGCTTTTTTATAAAACAAAAAATAGTACAAAAGGTTTGTAATCTCTGCATAAAAAAGTCACTTACTCTCAATTTCAAAGAAAACACGTAGAAAAACACATAGTTACCCACTAAAAACAAGTATCCTTCCGTTTGTAACTGATGTTTGATGTCAACTAAACTTAATTAGGTCTAAACAAGTGAAAAAAGCATAAAAAAGAAAATTATTTTTACACATGGCTGATGGTACAATAGGCGTGTCATCAACTTCTGTGGCTGTGTGAAATATTTGTTCGCTGCCACAGCTAAAAGTTGTCGAAAATCGGTGCCGCAACGAATCGGTTAAGCGAATTGTGAAGTGCCGATACGCGGCGCGAGTAGGTATTTTCAAAAATGCTATCTCTTTCATACCGTTCGCAACGTATCGCCTTATCGTGCGATAGAGAGAGTTGCAAGTCTGGGAGGCAATTGCCTACATTTCCTTTTTGAAATATTCTTTTCGTGCAATAACATTTTCACACCCCTAATACGATTTCACCAACCTTTACGAAATTAAACAATTTTGATCTCATTAGTTTCTTTTCACCTTAATCTAGGTCAGCACGTTCTTCTTTTTTAGTAATTCAGTTTTGTTTAATTAAATTTATTAGACTATATTTACAGAGGGGTTTTCCCCTCTTATCCATCGATCGATACGAGGGGCAATCGGTTATAGATTTTTGTATGCACATTTACAGCTTCACAATCCGCTTAATCTGTCTATTGATGGTTGGAGCAACGTCAGGCAGGACTCGATAGTCTGTGTCTGTGTCACAGATGTGTTAGACGAGGAATTCACTACCAGACTGCCCATGTTTGCGCGTGAATGCTAGGCGGCGGGTACGGGCAAGCCCGTCGGTCTGTGCCCGCCGCCTGCCCGGAGAATCGCATTTTCTCTGCGCGGGCACAGACAAGTCTGAACGTGAATGGTCAATGGTCGCGCCGGACGCCCCGCCTGCATTCACGCGTCAGAGAGCGATTAGAACGTGTGTTTGTTTCGAATTATTATTATAATTGACGTTAACATGAACTAAAATAAACAATTTTGGGAATCTTTCATTTCCATTTACCATTCGAAAATTAAAAGCAAAGAATATATGAATAGCGATGTAAGAAATGCCGCTTACAGCGAAATTAATTGAAAAAGCGACGGAAATCCATGATGATGCCGATCTGGCGTTCGTTAAGAAGAAGATAGAATCCATGAGGAATTGTTTTCGTCGTGAGCTACAAAGGGTGAAGCAATCGCTTAAGACGGGTTCATCAGCAGATTCCGTATATGAACCAACCTCTATGGTATTTCGATCTGCTGCGTTTTACATCCGATCGAGAGGAATCAAGACACGGTACGTCTTCAATAGCTTCACCCCTTTCTACGATCGAAGACAGTACCGATGATACAATCGTAAGTCATCATTATTAACCATTTATTTCTAGAAGAACGTAAGAAAATCTAATGCTTTTCTCTATTAAAAAAAAAATATTAGGTGCTCATGTTAGAGCAAGGTAAAACAGTTTAGGTACCTATAACTATTTACTCCGTATACAACGATTATCGTAAGAGAGTTACACTACTCAAGTTTACATAAGTACTTATTCTAATAAAACTTAAATTGTCGGACACAATTAGCTAGTGATTACACAACCATATTACTCGTATTTAGGAATTCTACTTGTCCTTCGCCATTATAAGTTTGTAAAAGCTTGTCTAGACCTTTTACCTAACTCATCACTATTACGTTCCCTATTGTGTAAGCTATCTAGCTTATGATGCCCTTGACGCCATTGTCCAAAAGCGACAATGTGATTTTCATGATCTACACAACGCATTGTTAGTAGCTTGGACTTTTTTGTCTCAAAAAATGTTATAGAATACAGCAAGCTAATGCGACTGAATCAATGCTATTCAAGTCTGCAAGAGTAATTTTAGATAATAATATTCTAAAATGACAAGACATTATTCCGAATGCGTTCTCAACGACTCTTTTTGCCCTACATAACCGATGGTTAAATATTTTTTCTGCCCTAGGACTGTTAATGTTCCTGCGGTATGGTTTCATAACATGTTCAGTCAGTTGAAATGCATCACCTCCTATAAAAACATATGAAGCACACATTTGTGAGTTTATAACGTTTGCATGAAGAGGAATATTTAGCTGTTTATTAAGTTTATCATGAAAGTCTGTCTCCTGAATAACGCCTCCGTCAGATACTATACCATTGGTCCGCGACATGAACATACAAGAATTCGTAGTTTGCGTTAACAATACAATACTAAATTACGATTTGTAGTTAAAATAGTAGGGAACCGCTATTGAACAGGTTATTTTATTGCGACGTGTTTGCCATCCATTGCTTCCAAACAATGTTCAGAGTTCCAATTGTCTGCAAAACCACGAGCTACTTCCTACAATTCTTCAACGGATGTCGGATACTCAAACGAATATAAAAAATATTATTTTTATTATTTTTTGTTTACAGATACAGCAATCGAACAGCCCAAGCACTTCTTCAGAGGCTTTAACACCTTCAAACCAATATGAACCAGCAAAAAAATAAATCTACAAAGAACTCTCTCCGTTTAGCTTCAAAAAAATCTTAGTCT